GCAAGCTCCTTACTCCGAAAGCCCGAGGAGGGAAGTACATTCTCTCCGTTCACGGAGGCAGGGGTGGGGGGCAGACCTGCGGGAACCTCCCCAAACCACTGACGTGCGAGGCGGGCGGGCGAGGGCTACCTCGCGGCGTGCAGGAGCCCCGGCCGGCCGCCCTCTCCCCCCGCGGTGAGTCACGGCAGGCAGGGTGCGAGGAAGGGAGGCGTCAGCAGGCCCGGCTGGGAGCTGCACTCTGGAAAGCCCTCTTCTGAAAGTACCTTTTTCTCAAAGCCACAGACCCGGATCCCAGAGCCAAGGCTGACTCACAGGCCAAGACTCTGAAGCTTCTGAAAATCCAGCTGATCTGCCTCTGAGGGGTTATCCTCTGGGTGGGGAAAAGCCCAGAGCTCGGCTGCAATCCCCCGAAGTCTCCTGATGGCGGCCCATCCTTCACGTACATACTCCCTGGACCAAGAGGAGCTTTATCCTCCTAAACCGACACACGACCCGAACGCACACGCACAACCCCCGGCCCTTTCTCTGGGCCTCAGGGGACCCCGGCGCCCCCAGATCAATCTCGCTGCACTCACTCACTCACACACTTTTTTTTTTTTGGGGGGGGGAGAAGGGACAATGGGAAACGAAGCAACAGGATCCCCGAAAGGGTTTAGTCTTTGGTTTCTAGGTTTAAAGGGGGGATCTGCTTCAGGGCCTGGAGGAGGGCGGAGGAGTCGAGGGCCGGGTGGGGCGGCAAGGGGGACGGGAGTCTCTGGGGCATGAGCAGGGGGCCCGAGAGCTTGTCTGGGTTCATGAAGCTGGAGAGGGCGGCCGCGGAGGCGTTGAGGCCGGGGTACAGCAGGGGGACGGAGGTGGGGTACCAGCACTTCTCCAGCATGGGCAGGTAGGCAGTCGCTGAGGGCGGGATCAGATAGAAGGGCAGGCAGAAGGGGGGCTGGTGTGGGTGTGGGCCCAGGAACGGGGAGCTGATCAGGTCGCCGCCGGGGAAGCGGCCGTCATCGTCTGATGGCTGCACCCTGCTCTTCTTGGCGGGGGGCTCTTCGGATTCCTGCTTGATGGCCCCGACGCGCTGCTCCGCGGCAGCGAGCCTGCACCTCTGGTCGCCTTTGAGGTACAGGTGCTCGCCACGCGGGTCGCCCTTCTCCGACTCCCCCCCGTAGCCGCTGTCTGTGTCGGTGTCGCTGCCGCTCTGCTCCCCGCTCGAGTGAGCGAAAGTCCGCTGGATGACAGGCACGCAGTTCTTCCCGGGGCCCTCGGAGCCTTTGGCCAGGGAGCTGGGCCTCTCCTTGAAGTCCGTGGCTTTGGGAGGCGGGTCCGACGCCTTCCTGGGGGCGCCGCCCTGCAGCAGCTCCGAGACCACCCGGTGCAGGTGGCTCACGAGCTGCGAAGACCTCAGGTCCCGCGCGTTCTCGTGCTTGGCCAGGTATTGCAGCACCTCCCGGGCGCACGTCTGGAAACCCGAGCAGAACATCTCCTGACCGGCCTCCGCGTTTCTCCCCGACAGCTCACCTGGATCAACACAGATGCGAAGGAAGGCGTGTCAGGAGGCCCCCCGAGGCTCACCCGGGCCTCCAAGGCCAGGGGCGCCCCTTTCCGGTTAACAGGTGAGCTCATCTGTGTTCCTAACTCCAAAAGCGATAGAACCAGAGAAAAACGGGGACTGCACTGAAAAGTGTGAGGAATAAAGCAAGAGTCTCCCACGATCCTACCATCCAGAGGAAAAAATGAGTGTAACGGCTGCTTAATATCCCATCAGGCAAACAGGCCGTAATTAACGCAGACCGACTGTTTCCCCTCTTGTTGAATTTGCAGGCTGCTCCTGAGTTTCCATAGTAAGCGACGCAGCAGAGGACACCCCAGTATGTCTCTAAGCCAGGGAGTCAACGTCCAGAAAGCACCCATCTCACGGTGGCAACAAGGCCAGAGGCCGGGTGGTAATAAAGCGGGAGAAAGACTGAGGCGACAATGTCACCCAAAGTCATCTGATTGCCAGTGACTTCTACCCAGGACAGTCCTGTTATCATCTTTAAACAGAGAGGCTATTTCTAAGCCTCTCCCCTGTATTCCACCCAGGACCCCCAAGACATTAGGGCCGATCATGTCTCTGTTCTGGGTGCGGAACCTGCCTGGCAGAAGCACGCGCCCGGCTTTTGCGGTTCGCCCCCCCGCCGGCCTTGGCGGGAGGGCAGGGAAGGGTGGCCTGAGGGAGTGGGCCGAGCGGTCCTCCCAGCCTCAGGGGCTTATCTGAAGCCCAGAGGAGGTCTGGAGGGGAGTGCGATTCTCTGGAAGTGAGCGGAGAGGGATGATGAAACTCCAGCGGTTTCGTTAGGTTGCGCAACCCACCGAGATACCTAGTGGCTATTCAGGGAACCACATGAAATGCAGGAAAAACTCCTGCTTGTCACCCTGCCAGGATCGTACCACACACCGAGCCGTGAGGAGGCAGAGACTCAGGAAAACACTGGGGCACACCCGTGCTTTCTTTCCCAGTGAAAGAGGGCCACGGGGAGCAACTGTAAAACTCCCACGGTGCCACTTATAGCTGCCTTAGCACTTTAAAAGGGAGGGGGGAGAACTCCCAGAACCAGAAACTCTGAAGCCAGAATGCCACAGAAATCACTGATCACCTGACTGCCAGGTGTGCCTGCCAGGTGGCACCCAGCGGCACTCCGAGGGAAAAGTCCGACCTCGTAGGCACGTTAACGCTCATCCCCCCCCCCGTGAGCGAGCACAAGCCGCCGGCTGTGGGAATGTTCCCAGCAGCAGATGCCGAGCCCACGGGCCCTGTGTTTGTGCTGGAGCTCGCCGGGGACGCGCCAGGCGCAGGCACTCACCGGCTTGCAGGCCGCTCTGCAGGGCCAGGATTTTCTGCTGCTGCTGCTCAATTAAGCTGGTCAGGGCTTTCACGTGCTTCAAGGTGAGCTCAAGAACCACCGCTTTCTCCAGGTGACCCAAAGTCTGGAATCAAAAAAAGCTCCGTCAGCAGCGAGCTCAGACAGGTCCCACCCCTGGGACACTTCTGAGCAATGAGAAATATCTCTAAAGGGGAAAAATATATACGGGATAGCCTTTCCTGGTTGGCTGGGTTTAATTTTAAATGTGTAGATGTAAGAAAACATATACTTGTGATTCAAGAATAAAAAAAAAAAAAGAGTGCCACCTGTCTTTGGAGGCCTTTTGGAAGCAGCCGCGACCTCAGGAAAGAGCTCTGGCAGCTCCATTTCCCCGGCAGCCTCTGCTGACCTTCCTCAGGGGAGCCCGAGGTAACATTTCTCTGCAGTGGTGTCAACCCGAGGAGGGACTTCTGCTGTGTCTGGCAGCCAAGAGGCTTTCCCTGTTTCTTTCCTGACGCCCTTTCCCAACTCCCAGCTCATCCAGGCTTTTTGCTTCCTCACAAAATACCGCCCCCCCCTTTTCCCCAACCAAAGGCTGCCAAGCTAGTAAGGTGTCGGCTATTGCCAAGAAGGGACAGGATTTAAAAATCACATACCAAAACAAGTCCTCTTGTTTAGAAAAAGAAAAAAAAAAAAGAGAGGGAGAGACAAGGGGATAAATAAAATCTGAGTGTGGGTTGGTTTACTTAAGTCAGGAAAACTCGAGAAACCTGAAAATCACCAGAAGGGAAAGTCTAGAACTGGTGAGAAGGGAGGCCAGCTGGCGTCGGAGCCAATTTGGAGAAGCCCAAGCGGTTCTCACCTCGTTTGCATGAGGCTGCCAGAAAATCCCAGCCCTGGGGAAGGGTACCCCCAAACTGAGCCACCCGGCTGGGACCCAGCCCTCTGCTCTGCAGTTCCCGGCGGGGCCTGCAGGCGGCGAGTGACCCCCGGCGCCCTCCCGGCAGGGGAGCCGGCTTGGAGCGCGGCCAGCTTCTCACTTACTGTAAGTTTTAGGTGCTCGGGGAGGAGATCCTTCAGCTGGGCGATGCACTCGTTAATCCGGTCACGTCTCTTTTTCTCGATGAGCCGGTGCGGCAGTTTGTAGGTCTCCTGCAAGGCGCAAGGGGAGGCGGTGGGCGCCGAGGGAAAGGGGGGCGAGGAGCCCCCTCTCCTCCCCACCCCAAGCGGGAGAAAGAGTCGGGGCCGCGCCGCAGGAGTCGCACCCAGAACCACCGACTCCTGCCCCTTCTTTTCCAAGCCCCTGGGCAGAGGCGCCGGGTCCGCACCTTGCATACCCCCGTTCCAGCCACTGAGCGAGAAAACTTTTCTTGGGAACTCAGCGCGTGCTAGGGGCTGGGGTTCCCCGGGGCGCGCGGGGCTCTTACCTTGCTGTCTTCGCTCCGTTTGATTCCGCGCCTCGACTTGTACACTTGGTACATCTGGGCAAAATCCATCCTGCAGGGAGAGGGGCCAGGAAGGGCCGTGAGTGTGCGTGCGCCCCGGCTGCTGAGCCCGGCGGGCAAGAACCCCCCGATGCGCCCGCAGCTGCTCCAAGTCCAGAGCGGCGAGGGACGCAGGGCTGGAGCGGAGGCTCGAGGGGCCAGGTGTGTCCACTTACCCTGGAAGGTCTCCGGGCTCCAGCCCTGGCGCCTTGGGCAGGCAGGAGGGGGGCGGCTGCGCGCTGGGGATCCGCTCCATGGCACGGCGAGCCGGGGCCACTGTGCGCTCCCGTCTGCAGGAGGGCGTCGGGGGAGGACAGTCCTGGAGGGGCCTCGGCGCTCCCTCCGCGGGGCTTCCTCTAAGGCCGAGCTCCCTGAAATCCGCTGGGCTGCCCGGAGCTGCGGGTTCGAGGTGCTGCGGCCGGTGCCTCAGTGGGGGGCGTGCATGGGGTCTGCGCGGCCTCGGCTCCGGCTCCGCGCGCGGCCGGCGGTGTGTGCTCCCAGTGCCTTCTG